TCCGTTATTATGGGCCATATCAGATTCTGAAACACATTGGTCAGGTAGCTTATCATCTGGAGCTACCAAAAGTTCGCAGATCCACCCGGTTATACATGTTTCACAGCTCAAAAGAAGTCTGGGAGAAGCACAAAAGTATTGTGAGGAGCTACCAGCAACTGCAACCGATGGAAGGGCCATAGTACGCCCGGGACGAGCGATCGAGTACCGAAAGGTAAAGAGAGCAGGGCGTTACCGTTGGGAAGTGCTAGTTGACTGGGAAGAGTTGCCATCTGAAGAAGCCACGTGGGAAGATCATGATGAGATGCGCGATCAGTTCCCGAATTTCATCCTTGAGGACAAGGATTCACTTGAAGGGGACGGGAATGATGCGGAAGTGGCTAGGCAGCTCAAGAACGCCGCCAGTCGGGCCTACCATGCACGCAAGAGGCAAGCGCGAGTAACGGCAGAAATGCGCGCACTTGAGCATAGTGCGCGCGAGGGTTGCGAAAAGGGCGTGGCCATGGGCGAGAACGATCGCACATGCACGGCGAGCAGGCAAGGGCTGGCCAGCGGGTGCGCGCGGTTGGCACACGCGAGCGGAACACGGATGGCTGACGAGGACGCGCACATGGTGGGCGTAGCGAAGCAGCACGTGGGCAGGGGTGAAAAGGACGCGCGAGACGCGGATGTCGGGAGCGTGCGCGCAGAAGGACCACGTAGTGGGGCAACACGCGCGAACGAGCCCTCAGTCCTTGAGGAATGCGGACAACCGGGCGGGAGGCACGCGCGCGCTGAGGCGGCGGATAGCAATGGCGTGCGCGGCACGCCGGATGGGCGACACGCGCGCGAGAGGGACGGAGCCCTAGTCCTCGAGGACTAGGGCATGGGCGAGGGCGGCAACCGACCTAAGGCGTGCGTGCGCGGGTCCTTGAGAGAGAGAGATAATTGCTTGGAGTGCACACCAAGAGATCTAGTTTCCTTCTAGTATTATATCTTCTAGCTTGTTTAGGATTCCTAATATTTTATTGCTTTATTAGTTCCCTAGGTAGATTAGGCCTAGATATAATTTGGTGCCTATATAAAGGACCAATCCCCATGTTATGTTTAATCATCCAAGAATTAATAAGAACTCAAGAACTTTTGTTCATCCTCTTTGCTTTAGTTTTTCACCAAGATTCTATAGCAATTATATCGTTTAGAGGGGTGCGGTTTGTGAACCTCTAGGCAACTATCGACGATTCAAGGCACTGCTTTGTGGCTTATCGGCAGTCGAAACACACGATCCTCATCATTGGTGCTTTCATTGAGAGGTGTTGATCGTGTGTTTTTCTTCTACCTCATTCCCTTTCTTTTTCTTTTCCTATTTTTCGTCCCCCCTCATATATCAAAAAAAAAAAAATATCATCATCATCATCACGAGTCCACGAAGTAAAGAACCAAGCAAGAGAAGAAAGCCATGGCCAACAAGGAGATGAAGGATAAGATCGATAGTCTCAATGTTCAAGTCCGAAGTATGAGCGAGGCTATGAATACCCTAGGCGAGGGTCTCGATACCACCAAGGCGTCCGTTCAAGATTTGATGGAGATCATGAACCGAAGGTTCGATGAGATGGCACGCAACATGTTGGCGCACCAATCACCACCCCGACGGCCCAATCGCGAGCGGCCCGATCATGAGGGACGCCGCGAACGTGATCATGATGATGACCAAGCGAGGCGGTACGGGGATCGGGATCTCGAACGACGCCACGACCGTGAGCGACACGAAGAGGAACGACGACATGATGATCGCGAGCGAGACGTGGACCGCGAGCGACGGCGCGGGGAGTACGAGCGGGAAGACGACTTCAACCGACGGTCCCAGGCGTCTAACCACTACGACCGACCGAAGCCAGAAAAGCCAAAGGTCGTGTTATCCACCTTCACCGGTGCAGATCCCGATGCATGGCTCAACCGGGCTGCCAATATTTCGAGCTGAATGAGATCGAAGAAAGCGATCGGGTAAAGTACGCTTCTTACTATCTTGATGGAGAAGCCAACGTGTGGTGGCAGTGGCTTACAACCGTCTATCGTGGTCGACGATAAGTCATCAGGTGGAACGACTTCGAGCGCGAGTTACTTACGCGTTTCGGAACGTCCGACTACCACAACTATAATGAGGCGCTAGCACGCATACGACAGACCGGCAGCTTGCGCGACTATCTTAAGGAGTTCGAGCGATTGGCATGTCGCGTACGAGGCTGGCCCGAGA